GGAGCTGCCCAAGGAAATGTTGACACACGTTCAAATTCACACAGAAATAGTTGCTTCCTGAGAACACCGAGGGGGACAACATCCGCACACAGGGGTCCGAATGAATAATCAAATTCAAACTACAGCAGCCTCACATGCAACTGTACACCCCGCTGGCTTGTTGACGGCTGCCCCACGCGGCCTGTTGACACCAACACACAAGCGCGCACGCACACACACACACATATTGGGGGTGAATGGGAAGGGACAATAGGCGGGCTACTCTACGGAGGTCCTGTCTAGTGTGTCCTTTTTGTTGGGTGAGGATACAGGAAGGACAGGCAGGACAGGCGACACAAAGAGAGGTTCCCTATAGGTTACCGTGGCACTCACCTGCGCAGGTAGAGGAGGGGGTTCTGCGGAGAGCCATTGCGCCTCAACTCTTGAGCGACTCCAGCTGAGAGTTTCCAGCCAGTCAGTCATCCATTCTGGTTTTGCCGTCAGCAGCAGGTGAAAAGACCCACAGCAACACTCTGACTCAGTAGTGCAATCCTCAGCTCAGCAGAAGCTTATCTCTGCCGGGATAAAGGGGTGCTCCAAATGGCCGATTGGCAAGCAGTAACTCCACAACTCAGCTTATTGTGTACACGGACTTAATACACCGCACAGTCATGGGTAACAGACCGGCCCGGCTGATTGGTTGTTGCGCACAAGGAATTATAGCCACGCAGAGACAAGCAGAGATTATTGGGCCCTCTAATATGCATTAATTACGTTGCCTTCTGTTTAGGTTTAGCTGCAAACCTGTGGCGTCTTAACGGCGGTTTGAGATTTGGTGTCCAAACGAAAATTGAAGTTACACAATGAGGATTTCAAGCTAAGTAATGGAAGACGTGACCTGGTCAGCAGCTGGAAGTTCAGCTAATTCATCCACAAAAAGATTAAGAAACCAAACCAAAGAGGTTGGACTATTATAAAAGGCCTTTCCTCGGATGTTTCTGGCAGAGCATAAATGTCTTTAAATCTTTTGCTAAAGAAAAAAGTGGATTGCAGGTTACAGAAGTGTTCATATTCCTGTTTAATAAATGTCTTATAACTATATAGTTATTTTTGTTAAAATAGAAGCTCAAGACTCACCTAGTTAATTCTTTCTAGTTTAGCAGAATGTCAACCTCGGTGACTGGTTGCGTGTTGCCAAAATGCTTCTTCCAAAGTGTTTATGCACGCAGGCTTGTACTTTGTAACTTGAAAATATACATCATTTAGTTTCTTTTCCAATAATTTAAGGGAAGCCTTGAGTGAAATACATAATCAAATTCGCTGCAGAGTTGCATTTGCACAGTTTTTTTTCCATTTCGATTGCTTGGCCAAACTCTTCTGTGACTAATTGTTCTACCTGATGGTAACTGATGCTATATCGAGATAGAGCGTGAGAGGCAGCGTCAGGTTGCACACACACAGGCACGCGCACACCAGCACCCACTCCCATCCGCCCTCTCATTCTGTCAGTAAGGGTATCTCATGTGGCACACCGACCGGCAGCCCACACACACACACACACGATCGCGCCCCAAACACATTTTCAATTTCAGGGTCTCGTTACAACGGGTACAGATATGTCCAGGGTGTTAAATATTAAAGGCTGTAACATAAACGTCTAAGAATTGTAATTGAGGAAACTGCTAACAGGTCAAGTTCGCACTACAGACGGCTAAGTGGTCATGCCGCACTTCTTAAATGTTGACTTGGAGAGGTCAAGTTCAATATAATGTCAACAGATGAAATAAGTGTGGTGTGATCAGCAGGCCGATGCAGGAAGAGTGGATCTGGGACGGCACAGGTGTCTGTGAGAGGGGACGTTTATTATAGTATATATAGTATAGTATTTCTGGCTAGTGTACATCATATATATATATATATATACACCTTTTTTTAGAAGCACACTGCGGCAATTTTACAATTGACTTTGTTGATTAGACCTAACACTCATATAGTGTTTTTAAATTAAGCATATACTCCTGTCAGATTTGTTATTCTTAACATTTACTGTCAGCTCATTCTGCACCTTTGCGGCATATGTTTGACATATAATTTCATATTTGGGTTAAATAACTAGTTCAACATTTTGGGGGATAAGCTTATTCACTTTACGGCTGAGAGTTGTGAGAGTAGATGTGAAGTTTGATACCACTCACACTCCCCAATTGTCAAATTCAGACTTTTCATAATAAATTTCTATCTTCAAACAAACGTGGGTTTTTCGGAAACAAAACCAAACCAAAACTTAGGGAAAGAATGTGGTTGACTCCACTACACTAGCGAATGAGTAGAAACACCTGTGTTTACTTGACCCTTCTCCCCCAACTGCTCTGTGTAGACAATCTGAGCTGTCTGACCAATTATTAATGACATAGGTTTACGTTGGAGTTAGCAGTAGTATGAGCAAAGAGGACCAGATCGCCAAGTGTTTGACGAGTTCGGATCAATAGCAGGTTGCACTCTCAAGTGTACGGTAAATATATGGCAGAGCCAGCTGGTGGTTAGCTTAGCATTAAGCCTGGAAACCGCCAAAACAGTTGGCATGGTCTGGGTACACAATCCAGCTATCTAAACATCACAAATAAACATGTATTATTTATTTCATATGAACTGTACAAAATAATGATTAAATATTAGCCTACTCGGTTGACTGTGAGCTTCCACTTGGTGTAAACTCACACTGCACGTTTAATCGGCCTTTCTACATAGCCAGAACCTGCAACTTTTATGCTGACACTGTCCGGGCACAACGTGGAGCTCATACTGAATGTGAATTGAAGGATTTTGCCCACTACCCTACCCTGGGTATTGTTAAATAGACCATAAAGTAGAAAATGCTTATGAGAGGGAGACTGCAAAACGAGTCAATGCAGAGAATTAGGTGGCGGATGCAAATTCCAATTAAGCAGCATGCCTTGAAAATAAATTTAGCATTTAAGGATAAAAAATGATGCTTCACAGACCAGGAAGATGTGGTTAATGCATGAAAACAGAAATCTTCGTCAAACGGAGTTCAAAGGGAGAGCATTAGTTCTGTTTATAATTTTGAAGCTACACTGCAAGGCAACCGCCATAAATAAACTGTGCATCACACCCACACATCATATTCGTATGTAAAAACAGCACATCAGCATTTAAATTGAAGTGTATACACAATATTCCACAAACACATGCTAATTTTAAGCACTTATCGGAACCGCCATTGACTAGGTCTCTTTCCGAGCTTTCAACCTTTTGGCTCTACAGATCACCTGAGCATATAGTAATATAATATGTGCTAATTCACTCCAATTAACCGCAACCCACGTCTTGATATTGAAATAACCCTTTTGAGAAGTGAGGACAGGCTTTATCCTCACACTGAAGGTCTCTAATTCAAATTGTCCCCCAACGAACACAGAGTCACATACAGGGTACATATGAGCGTGCACGCGCACACACACACACACACACACACACACAAGGACAGTGATTTCCCCCGTCGTCTGATCTGGTTCATGTCTTCCTGGAGAGGAACCAGAGATAATAGAGGAAGAGAGCAAAATCAAATTCTCAACGCTCCAGTTTCTTGCAGTTCCCTCCCACACCAACCTCACACACACCTGTCAGAGCTAAAGGCGTCATGCCATAAAAGCCGCAGTGCACGTGAAATGAAATGCAGCTGTGAGAGTATCAGCAAGCAACTGTTTTGTGTGTCCGACAGTCATTTTTGTATCTAGGGTATTAAACAGATGGACTGTGGAGTTTTCTTGGTTTGTGTTCAATTCAGCGTTACTGATCCAAACACATTAAGTGCGAAAGGTATCATGTATACACTTGAAAGAAAAGAAGCTGAATGCATTTCCTTCCCTCCCTTGTAATCATTTTTTGTTAAAGCGGTGTTGGCTAGCTCGCAGTCTTCTTCACATCCATTTGTACTGCAAAGCCTGTTGCATATTATAGGAAAAACAGGGATTTGACCCGTGAAGCCACGAGGCATAACATTACGTCAAAAATGTAGCACAACTTAGAGGGCTCATGTCAGCTCAAGACTTAGAAACACTTGTACATGCCTTTATAACCAGTAGGCTAGACTATTGTAATGGTCTCCTTGCAGGTCTTCCAAAAAAAACTGTCAGGCAGCTCCAGCTTGTTCAGAACGCTGCTGCTAGAGTTCTAACAAAGACCAAAAAATGTGAGCACATTACACCAATTCTTAAATCCTTACATTGGCTCCCAGTATGTCAGAGAATTCATTTCAAAATCCTACTGCTCACATATAAATCACTACATGGTTTAGGGCCAAAGTATATCACTGATATGCTTCCACTACATAAGCCTTCAAGATCACTAAGATCTTCTGACACCAATCTGTTAGTGATTCCCAGAGTAAATACAAATCATGGGAAAGCATCATTCAATTACTACGCAACAAACAGCTGGAATAAACTTCCTGAAGATATAAGACTTGCCCCAACTCTGACCACGTTTAAAACAAGACTGAAAACTTTTATGTTCAGCTTCGCCTTCTGCTAAATTTGACCTACATTGCACTTTTAACCTCTGCTTTTAATTAAGCAATTTAAATAAGATTTTAATTTATAATTTTATTTGCTGTTTTTAATTGTCTTTTAATTCCTGCATTTGATTTCACTTTATTGTATGAAATGTTATGATGTGAAGCACTTTGAGTCTGCCTTGTGTATGAAAAGCGCTATACAAATAAAATTGCCTTGCCTTGCCTAAAATCTTTCTCATGCACTTAGACTTGAGCTTTTCTGACATTGAAAATGTGCTTTATAAACTTCATCATCTTTAAGTTTTAAATCTTCTTTAAGAGAGTAAAGGAGAGATATAATTTCCTTTGATGCCATTCCAAACTTTTAATTGTATTGGAATAAAAGAATATCTCAAATGTAGTGCTACCACATTTACTATCTTATTCAATGCATACATGTGTTAAGGCTTTATATTACTCTTGTATTAAAATCCAGCCATGTAAATCTACTGAGAATAACTTTTATTCATTTTTCAGATGATGGGATTCCTTGAAAGATGCATGCTTTTTGGAAGAGGCTTAGAGGCTTTTATATATACAAATAACAAAGAACTGCATCTGCAACAATAGGAATGTTAAAGAGAAACACGTAAAAAGTATAGAAGAGGTTATGTGATCCATTCACATCTGGTTCTTTTCACTCCCCTCACCTCCAGGTTAAAAAGCTTACATTTAGCAGCGTAACAAAGAGCAGAGGGAGGCCTTAAAGCCTCAGGGAATAAAGAGACTTATCTGTCCAAATCCATTTAGTCCCTTAACACCCTGTACATTACAACATACACAGCAGATAACAGTCGCAACACTAAGTGGCATGATAGACACTTGTTTCTTGTGCAGTGCACTCACACCCACGTGTACCATTCCTGTTCAAATTGTGCTGGAAAAGAGTGGGAGAGAAACATCAGCTGGATGAAGGGATGAATAGGGAACTGAGAGGAATGAACAGGGAAATTCTGTGAGGAAGAGTAGGGTAGAAGGAGGCAAAGGAGAAGAGGAGGCTCGTTAGTGATAGTCAAATGCTGTAACTCTAGAAGGCTTATGGTGTTGCGCCATCTTGTGGATAATATTGACTATCACTGTTTATGTATTACATGAGGCAAGAACAACATTTTCCTTCAGTTTGTAGGATTTTTTAAGACAAGCATATAAAAAGGCAAGACAGAAGGGACAGAAATGTGCACTATTTTAAGTATTACATGCAAACAAGCAGTTCAAGTTTGATAACTGATAACATAACTTCAATACCCTGATATCATTACATATACATTGTATTTTCAATATAAATGATTCAAATTGACAGTCACAACAGACATTAGTAGAAAATAAAGGTTTAATAGCCTTGTTTAATAATAGAGAAGTCTTTCAAACTGCTGAAGCTTGTTGTAGCTTTCATCTCCAACAAGGAAATAAATTGCTCCTATATAATAGAACAATAATTTGATTGTTAATACAACCTCATAATTGTGGGTTTTGTTTTGCCTCATATAATAAACCGTCTGTCTCTAAATGTGATTTCATACATTTGTAAAAATTCATTTCGACAGAAGAATTGAGTGAAAGCTTGTTTCTCTCAGTTAAAGTTGGCTTGTCTTATTTTTTTGATCCAGCATAAACATTTAAGACATAAGTGATCTTGCACAGAATCATTTTAACTTTGCATTGATAATGTAATAAAAATATCAAAATCATTGGTTGTAGGCAAATATAAAAAACAAACGAGTTCCACCATCTACGTGATCACAGCACTGACCAGCATGTGCTAAATGTCACCAACAGACCAGGAAGCAGAGCCTTTAACAACAGTCCATTACAGCAGTTATAAATTAGCATGATCAAACTGGAATTTTAATACATCATTTATGTTTTCAATATTAAACATGTAGACTGATCTTCCAAAATACAATCTACCAGACAGTGTAGAACTATCTCAGTGGGAATCCAATAAACAGTGTAACATACTACGTTTTGAAATGAAAACAATGCAAAGGAAATGTGAGAGAAATGTTTTTTTTTTCAGCTGGGAATGACAACTAGAAACCAGAAGTAGCTTTAGTTTTTCAAAGGATAAAAAGAAGTGTGTGCAAAGATCCAATTCCTTATTCTGGTTTGTTTTTTATTCTCAAAGGTTTTTTTGACCAAAATCATACCCCACAGTTTTAAGCATTTCCCATTTGAGAAACAGTACAAAATGTGTGGAAATGAGAAGTCATGTTGTTTAAAAACTAGGACAACAAGAAAAAAATTGAGCTTCGCCTTCCATGTTTGACTTGGTCCAAGCAGTGTAATAAAAACATACAAACGCAGAATGTTTAGACTCATTTAGTTTAGCATGTATGGATCTTGTTTGCATAACTATTTACCGTATTTTCCGCACTATAAGGCGTACCGGATTATAAGGCGCATAAGATACTGCAGTCAAACGTTTGACGTCGGGGCGGGTGGATGGGGGGGGATGTGGGGAGGTGGAAACTGTGCTTTCAGGGTCTGATCGATGCTGCGAGCTGCGTCCGCTAGCCATCCACGCCTTAAATCTTCGGCTGCTCTCCAGCCGCGCTGCCTGCCAAGGGCCCCTTTTAGAATAACTTATTTTCCCCGTTAAGATGGTTCAGCTACTGTAAAGAAAAGGGGACCGTCTCTCGCTCTTTAATCTCGTTAAGTGCTTGGCAAGAACGACAGCTTTGTTTCTCCAAGGCGCCCTGAAACAAGCTCCATATCTCACGCGCTTGAGCGCCGCTCAGCATCTCGCCGTCGTAGACCGAGCTTTGGCATGTTTGGCAGAGCGCCTTGAGCGCCGTGTAAAACCAGTTTGGATCAACCGATTAACCAATTGATCCATATATATAAGGCACTCCGGATTATAAGGCGCACTGTCGTTTGAGAAAATTAAAGGCTTTTAAGTGCGCCTTGGAGTGCGGAAAATACGGTACGTCAAATGAAAATTAACAAACAGATATGCCTGAAGACAATTTTAACCTTTCCTAATAAACCAGAGGCCTAAGTAGAGCGTTTCTCTACACCCTGTTTGATCCCCAACACCAGGTGAACAAACCAGTTGATCTGCACCATCCAGCCCTTCTCCCGGCAGATCTCTATCTGGTCCAGTAGGTGGCGCTGGGCCTCGTCTTCGCTGCGGCCGACAGTCAGTGCCTCACGGATGTACTCAATGTCCTCCTTGCTGGTCAGCTGGGGCATGCCTGTTAAAAAAAAAAATAATAATAATAATAAGAGTCATCTTTTCAGCCAGCAAGGGGAATTTATCAGTAGCTCTCCTAAATTTCCTCAGAAATACTTTGGATTGATTTGTTCTGTCTTCTTTTAAATAAGTGACTGACAAAAACACTGAATGGCTTAATTCTTGAGTTTTAGATACACATCTTAACTGGGAGGAATGACCAAAGGTAACAGTTTTGTTCCGCTGTGGAAAGGGCCCACATAATCTTTAGCTATTATAAAGGTGGAAGTCATACCGGTCATTAGCATCATGGAGAAGAGGATGATGAGCAGGTTGGTGTGGTGCCGAAGGGCGAGGTAAGCCTTCACACACACGTCCTGAGACAAACGTTAGGGAAATGAAAAGCATATTTACAACAGACTAATGCATCTTTTAGCAACAGGGGCTGAGCTCAGCTTTTATGGTATTCTCATGAAAACAAAAACAAAATATCCCCTTTGCTGCACCTGGAATTTCTGAAAATGGGGGCTACTCTTCTTTCCCGTCGTTCCCATGACGTAGAGGAAGTCCGGCGTGAGAACGAAGGGAACCCACTCCTTACTGATCCCCATGAAGCTCTTGTAATTCCCCAAGATGTGACCAAAGTCGATGTGGAAGAGATTCCCTGCAGAAACACAAAGGAGGTACGTGTTTGTCATCTCCTGAACTCCGCACTTAATTTTCGACATAGGAGTGTATTTATTTAATTGGCAACACTGAGCCTGTTTTTTTCCAGTTGGATGAATATTCGGATCGATCTTATTCTTGCTTATTTCTTCGATGTTACCAAACATGTTTTACAAACGCTTACAAAGGTTTAAATTCAATATGCAGTTTATATAACACTGATTTGAATATGGTTCAGTTTGTATTGTGTTGGTGTGTATGTTTATGAGTCACATTTTCACTTATGAATACCTTTGACCAGAAAAATGAGTGATAGGCCTAAAAAATAAAAATTAATATTACAACTATAACCATATTCTTGATTAAAGTTCAGACATACGATGTCATTACCAGATTCAGTGATCATGATGTTATCATTGTGGCGATCCCCGATACCCAGAACGTAGGTAGCCACACAGTAGCCTCCACAGGAGTACAGGAACCTCTCCACTGCCTGCTGGAACTACAACGAGAGGGAGGGCACGCCATCATACATCAAGATTGTCGTTGTTCACAGATCAACTGTAGCTCTGTGCCATTTTATATTCACAGATCTCATTAAAACAAAACAACAGATAATCTGTTCGTCTGTCTCTTAATGCTCGCAGACTTCGCAGAGGATTCTTTAAGCCCATTTGTTCCTGCATCATCATTAAAAACTGGTCAGACAATATATTACTTCATTGAAAATTTGATTTGTGATTTCCCAAAGACGCTGTGCGCTGTGGTTTTTAGCTGACAGTAATATGATGTGACGCACATTTTAGTTGACAAATATAGCATTAAAAATATACATATTTTCAGTATTACCTCAAACATCAAGCGCTGTTCTGTTTGAAATATTGCCCACGGTGCCAAAAGTTAAATAAAAAGAATAAGGGGCTCGGTAGCCGCATGCGGCTCAGGAGCAGCGTTTTGCTGACCCCTGATCTGGGGCAATAACGGGGCCGTGACCTAGAGGTTCAGTCGGAGGGCCTCAGAGAGGAAGGTTTCTACTTTGAAATATTAGATTGAATGAGAATAGAATGGAATGCAGTCTGGTGGCGTGAAGTGAACGTCTCTCAGCTGTGCCACTCGGAGTAATTATGGCCTTTCGTTGAATCCCTCACTGTAGATGTAACATAAATGGTGCGTTAACGTGTACCAGACAATAAACATTCTGCAGAGCAGTGTCAAGGGACCTTTCCTAAATCATTAAAGCTAACAGATGAAAAAATTGATCCGAATTGGATAGAAAAACAAATACAGCGGTAACATTTACACACTCTGGGGGTGGCAGGTGTCACAGCACAACGTTGTGCGTTTGTGTTGCAAACACCCCTTGTTCAGTGTTTCCTTCCTGTCCGTCACACTGTGACGTCTGATAAACGGAGCCGCAGTGGAGACAAAGTGTTCTGCAACTTGTCACTGGGTTTCTGCTGAAAATCATTCTGGTTTGCGATGTATACCTTGTCCTCGCTGACACACTTGTCCCGCAGCCACTGGGAGAGGATTTCGTCTTTGAACGCCCCGGTGCTTCCCATGACACTTTGCTGGATGTTAGCGATGGTGGTGGCGTCCTTCACAATCTCTATCATACCTGCAAAATGACAAGATTCAAGGGGGTGTCTAACATTGGCTTTTCATAATTAACTCATTCCCCTTCCAGTATCTTACCTATTCTGTTCCCAGTGGAGATGCAGCCGTACGGCAACAGACACAGATCCAGTGTTTCGGTCTCCCAGATGGACTCCATTATCAGCAGGATCTGAAGGGACACGAGCAGGATTTTTTTTTCTTCTCCCTGATAACATGCTGTGCCGCAGAGGCTGCACCGGCGCTCACCTGCAGGATGAGCATGTCCTGTCTGAGGTCGTCGCCCTCTTTGAAGATGATGCCGATGGGGTCTCTGGACAGAGTCGTTTGGTCGGCCCTTTTGAACTGCAGCCACAGCGGCTTCTTCTTGGACGCCATTACTTTGCACTGCTCAATCTGCACGTTCACAAGCTGCGTTCATACTGCAGGTATTCACACCTTGACATCCATCTTTTAATTTGCTTTAATTGCAATCACAAAACTGGCTTTACAAGTTGGTTATCATTGGTTTTCTTCTGTGTGTGTGTGTGTGTGTGTGTGTTTCTCACCATCAGGGCTCCAGCTCTCAGTCCAGGATCGTAAGGGACCCTGAAACTCTCCGGCAGACCAGACGACTGCAGAGTCTCCAGCTTCTGACGCAACTGGAACACCACTGACACACAACGCCACACACAGCTTCAGTGTCACTGCATTAACATTTTTTCCGCTTCATAGAACGACGGGAGTTGGAGGTCTTGCAGCTTTGCCAACAGTCACATGCAACAGTAACAACTACCTTATAATAAGTAGCTGAGCAAAAGTGTTTAGCATACAATCAGGAAAATTAACTTGGAGTAGTTAAGTACTCGCTCCGCAGTTAAATAGGCTCTTTAGTAGTTTAGTATTTTAATGGAGCAAATTGTTTTCATTTTCATACTGGTGTATTTCATTTATTCCTAAAAAATAAATGGTGTAGTCAAAAGTATAATATTTCCCTCTTAAAAAGTAGTAACGTAGAAAGTACAACTTTTACTGTGGTAGAATTCTGGATTAAATTGACTTAGTGACTCTTCATCACTGATGACGTAACCAAAGGACGTGTTGCAGTGGAAAGGTTGCTGTGGAGCTCTGCCTCACCTTGTGCAGTAATGTCGCACTTGTCGGCGGACATGGCCTTCATCTCGCGGGTGACTTTCTGCAGAGCCTCCGTCATCTCCACCTGAAGAACTTCATCACGTCAGTGACTGAAAGAGCTCAACTGCATGTCTCGTTCAATCTACGCTGCATCATTTGAGGAGCCGCGTACAGGGGCACGACGCATCAGCTCACCTGCTTCCTGAAGTCCTGCAGCATGTCTTCACCGCAGCCTCTGAGGTAGGCCTCTAGCAGGACAGCATACCTCTGCTGGTAATGCATGGACTGGGCGATCTCACTGCGCAGGAACCAGAAGAGAAAATGGCCAATACGCTTACTCTGTGGAGAGAAAACCACAAAGAAAAGAGGCAAGGCTTTAAAAAAACTAAAACAGGAGTAACATAACTTCAGTCCATGGAAATGTTGATGCTTAAGATATTTGATAAAACCTTTTCAGCGTTTGGAGAACACGCACACACACTGACAGATGAATGGACTGAGGGATAGAAACTACAAGAAAACACACCCACACACACACACACACCCACACACGGGAGCACAGTGGGGTGGGAGAGCGCACACTCTCAGGCCAGATATGTGTCCTGCTCACCCTCAGAGCTCTCTTCAGCAGGAACCTGACCAGGGCGCTGTCATGGTACGGCTCAAACTTGACGGCCTGCAGGACAAACACACACAAGCACTCAGAAATATGTTCAATGAATGAATCTAATATATGACATGATTTTCAGGTTTTATGAACACACAGGAAGCTATCGAAGTTTGTTTTGAAAATGTTTTAGGCCAGGTAGTGTGGTTGTACATCAACATCGGAGCCTTAATCTGAGAGTAGATGCGAGCAAAGACGTAATCGCGACATTCTAATCTTTTTTAAATTAGGAAAGTGAATGACATTTTTGACAAGGTCTCAGGGATTCCAGACAATCCCTGAGACTGGAATAAAATATATTACCTATAAAAAGGAGCAATGTGTATGATTTAGGGGATTATTGGCACAAATGGGATATAATATATATAATATAATTATAGTTGTAGTTTCACCTCTGCTTAGAATACGTAACTTAGTGAAGGCGAGGTCGGATTCTCCAAACACCGCAATCGTCCTTTCCTAACTACTGTCGGGATCTCCAATCCCCCCCGAGTTAGTTGATGAGAAGAATCGCAGCACGTTGATCAATTAATGTCAAAAAGTTAACATTTATTTAGAAGAGAAAAAGATTACATGAGCAATTCTCCGCAGATATCTGGCTCTAACTATTGCTTAAAAGCAGGAGGTTGAACACACGAGCACATATTTCAGCGTTCTGTGTAATCGCGTCTCCGAGCAGTAAAAACGCTTTTTTTTTATACACATGTGAAGGCTAGTGCCGGGCACGAGAAGCTGCAAATCAGGTTGAGATAAGAACCCAGGTGAAGATGAGGGTAACACACACCGTTCCTTTGTTTGAGCGCCTGTGAGAGCAATTTAACTCCCTTCTTCAGACATAGCTCCATATGGAAACCTTCAATCTTTTTGATTTTGCACATCCGGGTCAAATATAGACACTTGAGACACGGGTTTAGCACAAGACAAATGTTACAACATATTTTACCATTACATGCATCTCACACTACTCATGAATTCTCCTAACCATCTTTTCTTGACCCTGTGACATTTTCCACAGAGGTCAAAGAATAGTGGTTAGGAATAGACGTTAGGGGGGTGATTTTTTTATTTAATTTTTCTTTTTTTACAATTTGAATCCAGCCATTATGTTCAGAGTGATGAGGCAAGAAGTGGACAGTGGCAGGAAAAAGAAGTGCAGTGAAAACACAAGAGCCCATTCTGCTCACGCACAGGATGACTATTTGAATATTTACTGAAGGAAGCATGGAGAAAAGATTGAAAGATCAGAGGTGAAAAACAGACAGACAGCAGGGTTCGGTGTCATTTGCATTCCAAATATAGTTAAGATAGCACCGTGGATGGCAGCCTTGGTACTCTGCTCTCCCACACATTACAAATTGCATACAGTATGTTCATATGAACAGAAACTGTGCTTAATTGTATGTACTATGTATGTACGTTGAGATTGAAGAGTAAGGAGAGCCGAAGTTGGGCAGTATGTGTGGAATTGTGGATGAAACTAGTCTGACACCTTTGCAACGCAAGTTATTTTTCTTTTTAAAGGAGAATTTAAATTCAGACAGCAGAGCCTTACCATGTGAGTGCAAATACATTTTGGAAAGACACCCTGCACATATCAATAACGCTCACCTTTCAGACACAACGCCGTAATGGGGAGAGTCATTTCAGACCAAAGGGCCCTTTGTTGGCCTCAGCTCTTCATTCATATGCAAAGCTGACCACAGCTGACTAGCTTTTGGAAAAATGTCAGGACGCAAACATGCAGCGAGTATCGGGTGAATCGGGTGACGCACCTGTACGAGCTGCAGGAGGTATCTGAGCACATCGTCGTCCTCCAGAGTCTCCAGCTTCCTGACGGCCATGGAGCGGACCTGGGCGTCCGAGTAGTGGCAGTCCAGCAGCTGCATGGCCAGGCCAACATCCAGGCCGCTGAAGAAGACAAGGACAGGTGAAAGGATGCTGAGGGACGGCTGTGTATTGTGGTGGCAAGAGAGGGACGTCTACCTGCTGTCCCACGCGCTGCTGCGCTCCAGCAGCCGGTGTGTCGCCAAAACGTCTTCCTGTCTTCCCCACTTGACTGAACCCAAGAGCTTCGGGTAGGCCCTGAAGATGAGATCAAAGTTATATCAACAGCGATGTGACATTTGGTCTCCGGTTTCTTGTTCGAATAAAATTGAGAGAGCACCTGGGGTCGCGCATGCATTCGTGCCTGAAGTGCCACAGCAGCTCTTTGTCCTCTGGGCTGAGAGGGTGCAGGGGGTCGGTGGCCACGATGGCCGCAAACTGCTTCTTCAGGTGGTTGGGCATCTCCCTCTGGCCTCGCTCGCCCCCTTCCACCTCCTCGCCCCCGGCGTCACGGCACACGAGGTTGCGGCTCTTGGGCAGCACCACCGGGTAACAGTACTTGTCCAGCAGGATGGCGACGGCCATGGCGGAGGCCTTGTCCGGGTTGGTGGCCGAGGTGAGCTTGTCCGCGTTGATGCTGCTGCTGCTCTCCTCGCTCTTCTCCGGCATTTTCCACATGTGGAGGATGAACTCGCCCTGGCGCAGCAGGGAGCGGTGGTCGATCAGCAGCAGGTTGACGTAGTACAGGAGGCGGCTTTTGGTCTTTCCTGAAAAGACACACGAATGCAGGACTCGGTCGGGGTGTTGTCAGAATGACGCAGCGGTCGAATCCAAATTACAGCTTACCTTCATGGCTGCCAGCTCCCGGTGCATTATCCTGGTAGGCGGAGGCGCCTTTGGAGTTTGCCGTCGGAGGCTGCTTCCCACAGACCACCTGTGAGGGAGAAATAGCCGCACCGAGAATGGGCAAGAACGTGGCGAAAGGAAGCGGATCCCGATGCAATATCGTATGAAAAGGTGATACTTTTTTTTTTACCTAACCCAAAAACATGGTGACTGAAACCAAAAGGTATTGATTAAATCCATACATTGTTTTACACAATAAATACAGTATCGCAAAACATCAATATTTTCTTACAGCCCGAAAAAAAGAAAAAGTCACAGAAAAGCCTTGATAGTACAAAGACTATCCACTCCAACAAAGTTGCCATAACGTACATTGTCAAATTGAAAGGTGAATGCTGAAACAACCAAAGGCTGTGGTCATCCAGTCTGTCTAAAGGTTTACCTGGAGGTTGAGTCGCGCTCCTTTAGGCAGATCCCTGATCTTTATGTTAAACTCCAACCAGCAGTTCCACAGCACTTCTTCGCTGAAGTTTTTAGAGCACGTCCTCTCCTGAGACAGTACAGGACGGGTTAAACTTCAATATACTGTCCAAAGCGTACTCTCTTTGCAGACTTTAGTTTTAAGCTATAATCCTTCAATGGACAGTTCACTCCAGTCTAAAAATATAGTTTTGTATTTAAACTGAGTATCAAATATTGAAGATAATTAGGACCTTGTGGCCGTTATCTATACAACTAGGCAACTTCAATAAAATCAATCCCCATTGCCATTATTGCTGGATATCCATTCGATGGGTTTACATTCTGTATTCTTGATATTGTTTTGTATTCAAAATGCCTTCACGGGCAACAGATTTTATTTCAATTTCACTGTTTGCTTAACATTTCCTTCTGTTACAGCTTGCGACTTCATTCAAACAAGCAATACCTGCATCAACAAAATTAGCGCTGATGTTAGTCATTCATCACAATCATAAAATACGTATATAAACAAAAGGAGCAGCCACATCGAGCTGTATCACATTAAACACATAAATCATTATAGATCAGCAGATCTTATTTTTGTTCTTAAAAGCTTTGATCACCTGGGCTAAAAGCTGCTGGCCGTGGAAGATGCTGGCTTCTATGAAGACGATGAACTCTGGGATTTTGGGGAGGAATGGGATGTCGATACCCAGCACCTTCACTCTGAACTTCCTGTTACAGTCCCACATAGAGACGGTGAACACCCGCTCATGGTCCTTCTCGTCGATGGTCAACTGCTCATGGGTACCTGACAAAGACCATAATTATTACCTCTGAGAGAAGCTCTCGGCTACAGCAAATGTGTACACATTGTGGTAGACTACAGGGAGAGGTGAGGGGGTGGGTGTTGGAGGGGAGGTATATTGCGGCCAGATGGCTCCACCCCCGAGCCGTGTAGAGACTTCCGGGCCTAACGAGGAGAAGGTGAAAGCAATTATCTAATAATTAAGGGGAGCAAAGGGAAACAAACAACTGAACGGGGAAAAGAGAGAGCGGAGAGAAAGGACGGAGTGAGGCATCGTTGGGAGAAGGAAAGACGAAGACGACGAAGAGAGGGGTGATATGGCGTGTAGCGTATCTTCCTACACACTCAATTAATGACCAATAAACTGTGTTCCACTGCTCCCTGTGACTGGCTTGAGTCCTTGAACCTGTGACGTGGAAGTCCCCACCCATGGGCTTGTACGAGGATGGACACATCGCAATGACGGTTGTTTCATCATCAAATATACAAACATTTTGTTATTGAAATAGTCTTGACCAAAAATAAATAAGCCACAGAGCTGAGCTTTAATCTAACCGACTACCTGCCACTCCAGTGCAGTCGTCCACTTGTGCCCAGTCCTCCTTCTGGACCAGATCCAGGTCTGTGTCAGGGGGAGACTCCAGAACCAGATGGATTTCGTCCCCGTTCTTCAGACACTGACGAATCCAGTTGAAGTCCTGAAGCGGTTTATCCCCATACAGGTACTCCTCCCTGTGCGAACAGTTATCAATTGTAAAAAATAAAAAATGTCATGGAGTTATGGTGCGTTGCAGACTCTTACATACCTTCCACACACACGTAGCACAAAGTCGGCCTCGCACATGTTCTGAGGAATGCCCAATAAAACTCTCTTATTTGCCGTCTTGGCGAAAAAGCTCGCCAACACCTAAACAGGATGGGAAGTTTTCAGAAGATGGAGCAGTGACAAAAGAAAAAAAAAACACGAGGTTCACAACCGCCCTCGTCTACCTGCGCCGGCGTGTCCTGGAGGGAGACCTTGATGGTTTGGCTGGCCGTGCTGATGTGGATCACCAAAAGGACGTGAGCGTTGCTGACCTGAAAGGCGGAAATATCGAGGAAAGTGAAAAATTTAATTAGAAAGATTTAAGACTGAGGTATTACTCTGCAAAAAAGACAAATCAGACTGATAAAAGATCTTTGTGCTGGAGAGGTGGTTGAGAAAAGGCTGCTGGGGGTGTCAAGGATGTTTGAAAACAGCAGGACGAGATCTGAATCTCTGAGATCGGACATTTTTGTAACTGCATGTAGGGCGTAACCTCCACACACACCTTGCTGAGCAGGTGCTCGGGCAGCGGCTTGCGGGCCACCCAGGGGTCCATGGAGTAGAGTTTGGCATCGCGGTCGGTCAGCTCGATGCGCCGCGGCGTCAGCAGCTTCCTGCGCGTGAACTCCAGCTCGTCGTCGTGCACGTTACTCACGTCGGTCACGTCGTAGCCGATCAGGTAGTTCAGGTAGCTCTGGTACTGCAGGGAGTCGTCTGCGGGCTGTGGACGTGGGACAAGCTGGATCCGCCCCACGTCCTTCTTGAGGGCTTTAGAGACATTATTATTATTTTTTTTTTAAACAGAAGTTTTGAAGTGGCCCGTTTCAGCGTCAGGGTCTGTCAGCGGAGGGTACCTCTCCAGTAGCGGATGCAGTCCAGCGTCTGGAACACCTGGTGCTTGTCGTAGATCTCACACACGTTGCCTTTCTTCTGGTACAGCAGGATGCAGTGGTCGGGGGAAAACCGCTGGTAGAAGTCCGGACAGAGGTTGAGGGTCACCGCCTTCAGCCACACCTGAGCTTTCACCTGTGGGGAACGGAACGTGGCACAGAATATTTCTCTGTTCAACAATGGTCAAAATCCACAGTGCTGAGGGTACACCAGGAGATCAGGTGACCTGCTCCACCGTCCAGTTTCCGGCGACCTCCAACAGCAGAATTTCGGTGCCACTGCCGCCGCGCGCCGCGGTGGGCAGGACGAACTCGACAGAGATCTGATCCATGGAGGGGCAAGAGGAGGACGAGATGGCCTTCTTTCTTCTTCTTCTCCGGGTCTCTTCTCGCAGGATTTTGGGCTCTTCGTCGCTCAGCTGATTTTGCTCCCCGTCCATCACCTAGCTGGTGGGAGACAGACAGAAGACATGTGTGACAAGATCGCATACTCATCTCATCTTCCTTTAGTTAACAGCAGAAGTGCCAGTAATGCAACTAATTCACTTCCGGATAAATTAATTAGTGTCAAGAGTCAAGTAGATATTTGCAATAACAGCCACGTATCCATCAGGGAATACTGAGCTGTGACCTCTGACCTTTGGGTCAACTGCTGTTTAAAAGGTATTCTTTTGGTGACTTAAAATTTGGAAAACAAGCCACGTGAATAGTAAATAAATAAACTGCAGGAAGGCACGGATTATTTTTCTTTGTTGATTAATCAGTGGCTTATTTCCTCAAAACAAAAACCGGAAACATTTAAAAAAGATATTCAGCTCAATATGCTATAAAACAAAATCAATGAGCCACCATTAATATGATGAGTGGGATTGATATTCTTCCATGGGTTAGAACAATGAATCCATTTAAACATAGTTGACTGTTCGTTTAATGTCCATCTCATTGTTGTTTACCTGAGTAGCAGACCTGAGGGCTATTGCACAAAACCAGGATAAGGGATTAACCCGGGATATTTAAGTCATCCTGGATAAATGTAGCTTTTACTCAGTTGCACAAAAGCAGGTTGAATTAAAGTAACCATGGCGATTTGTTCTTTGCAGCTAGCCTGCTCCAGAACATTAATCCTGGAGTCTCATATGTTAAATCAGCTGGCGATCTGATCCAAAACAAACGTGTTTATTCTGGTATCTTCTGAATGTGTTCTGATTTATTTTTATTGACATGCATTACTTGTCACTATTGCCGTCACGAGTTTTATTTTAAACCCTACTATTGCAATTGTTTAGATCAGTGGTCCCCAACCTTTTTCCCCATTTTCATGTCACACAACATTTTGAGGGGGGTAGGTAATAATCTTGACCTGTTGCCAGGATCTTTTTGGTCCAGTCTGTATGAACATTAATTGTAAGATATTTAGAATTAGACACAGTTTATGGAGATCTGTGCATATGGTTGTAAAACATATTCTCGCTGTAAGAATTTTTTTTAATCCTTAAAATTCAGTCATTCAGTCAGTCGGTCCGCGATTGTCTGCCAGGCTTTTCTCAGCTGCTGTTTTTCCTTTTGCATGTTAGATGCTTCACCTCCTTATAAGTTTCCATAATTAGTTGCTAATCAGCGGGTCAAAAATATGCCGCGCGCGCCTTCTCCATTTCCGCATCAGTAAATCTGTGATCGATACCGTGAACGCGCACTGACCCCCGCTACGTACAGCTGCGTTGACTCCGCTCCCCCTTCTCCTCCCGGCTCGGAAAGCCCAGCAGGGCCGAGATCCTCCTTGTGGCACTCAGTGGCTCTCATTGGCACAATTCGTGGCACTCAGTGGCTCTCAGTGGCACAACTCGCGTCAAGTAAGGGGCGGGCGTCGCAACGCCACGCCGAGTGGGCGGAGCCAGGCTTTCCCGGAAACGGCCGTTGTTTGTGCGACAGGTTAGCTGCCGTAAAGATGTTTTTTTGTAGTTATTTTTATTTCATTGCATGTTTTTTGTATTTATTTTATTTTATTTGATACACGACATATTCCCCACCTCTATCTCAAGTCCGACGTATTCCGCTTTGAGGGTTGGGGAGGGGGGGCGCAGACGGGGGTGTTCCACGGGGGGGGATCGGGCGGTGTTCCGCGGGGGGGATTGGCGGTGTTCCCGCGGGGGGATTGGCGGTGTTCCGCGGGGGAGGGATCGGGGGGGATCGGCGGTGTTCCACGGGGGGGATCGGGGGTACAGTAGCACATCAGTGGCAAAAGTGGCAGTTCTGTGGCGTCACAACAGGAATACTTGTTCTGAACTCGAACTACCAACTCAAGTTTCCAATTTAAATAACACTTTTTTTCTTTACATGCAGCTCGGAGAGAAGAGAGCAAAAACAGCAGAAAGAAAGTTGACATTGCCCGAAGCACTTTCAGTGAGTTTGGAGAGCAGTGATCAAGGTTAACAGAGCTTCAGATCTTCATGGATTAGAATAAAATGAATACGAAAATAATATTGATCCATTTGAAGATGTTTAAGTGAATTTACAAAAACGCTTTTTTGTAATATCACATTAATAGTTCAAAACGCAGATGAAGATTTGAAGTCAGCAGTCCGTGCCTCTGTGGAGGGACAGGTGAAAAAACAAACTCTAAACTGAATCAATATTCATTTTTTTCTTTTTTGTTTGTATATACACTACATGTGATGTTTACCTGCCTCCTTTAGTCTTTGTTTTTATATAGTAATCCAACCAATGTCTGTGATGGGTATACATCTGAATACTAACTATAGGATATATACACATTGTGACGCGTGGGTGTTCTAGGGGGGAATCCCGGACAGAGATGGACCACAGCACAGAGTTGATAGATTCAGCTGGAGTTGAATTCACACAGACAGAGTCCTAGTATTGGCTCAAAAACCTACTTTGAAATAATAATTAAAAAAAGACACAAATAGGGGCTAATTCTAAATATATTGAAGAAATGAAATATAAATTCATTATCCCCCCAAAAAAGCAAATAATATTAAGAAGTGGATTTTGTACATACTGGTTTTATTTAAGAAGGCTGCTGCAGGCAAAATTATGAGACAGACAATTTGTGGTCTGTTTTTTTTAAGTGTGAAGTTAATGACGTAAATGTTTGTTTGTGAATTCATTTCTAAGTAAGGTTGTATAAATAGAGGTGCTAGGAAGTCTGTGTTGAATGAAGAAATTATGGATTTCTACAACAACAATTAACAACAGATAAATTAAATGTTTTAATAAATTTAGAAATGTGTGATAATAAAATGATGTAGTTGCTTCGGATAACTGGACTTTTCATCTTTTAGAGAAAAGTATATTCTGCAAGTTGTGTGATGATTTATTCTCGTTATGTTCAGTGAAGCATATAGCCCAACCAGCAGCACTGCAGGCACAGATGAGAAAGACCAACAGGTAATTGTTGTGCTATATAGAATGTATATATACAGTCTTGTTGAAATATAATGGATTGCTTTTTTATTGTTTCATATTTTATAGTCAATGTTAATTAAAATTATATATATTTAAAATGTATGCCTTTTTTATGATACTCCTTTTCTTCAAATGCAGAATGAGGGCAAAATGAAAATGCTCGAACACACCTTGTTGGCAGCAAAGTGGTTGCAGACAAAAGCATTTAAGGGGAAGGTAACCTTGCCTGAAATTACCAACATGGACAGAGGCAACCAGCTACGAGCATTGCAAGACCTCAAGAACTCCATGGATGAAAATGAGGACGACGCAGACGCACCGATAAATGTCTTTGTCGTGGAATTCCAGTACAGAAGTGACTACGAAATGTTTGTGGCACAGTTTATTGACAAGGGCTACAAAGTCAATGCTTTGTTCAGAGAGAGTGGGACTAGTTCAGTTTTTTAAATTTATTTTCAGGTTGTTTTTACATGTTTATATTATTTATTGTTAATGTTCTTTTTGTTTACATTTGTTATTTCATATATATATATCCTTCCTGACAGTCTCTGCGTCTCATTTAATTCTTCTAATGGTCTTCTAATGTCACTTATGACAACTTCAGCTCTATTGATTAGGCAAATATTTATGCTTTCATGTGTAACTGAATTTCTGTTCTAATAGCACTTTTCATTGAAAACATAACAGAATAAAATAACCTTAAAAAGAGTATTATTGGAATAAACTCTGACATCTAGGAGGTATTATTGTGGCAGCTTGGATATCCTCTGACAAGTGGCAATAGGAAAAATAAGTGCAAGTCCTAGAATAACAAAACAACATGCTCAACATCAGGAATCAGGAAACATTTATTGCCAAAATATGCTCAACAAACCCAATAAATTGAAAACAAAACCCCACTCAAGTCAATAAAAACAAGAAACAGCTCGGCAGCTCTGGATCGAGTGGCACTTTGAGGACGCTAACAGTTGCAATGATTGCAGAGTGGCACTGATGTGCCACTGATGCCACGAGTGTGCCATTGAGTGCACTGAGGGCATGTGCACTGATGTGCCACTGTGGCCACGAGTGGGCATGAGGCATGAGATCCGAGTGGGCATGAGGGCATGGGGCATGTGCACTGTGGCATGGGCACATTGTCATGGGGCCGGTGGCCTGGGCATGGCCCTTGCCGTGCATTGCCATTGAGTGCCACTGAGTGCCACTGTTGCCACTGATGTGCCACTGTAGCCACGAGTTGTGCCATTGAGTGCCACGAGTTGTGCCATTGAGTGCCACTGAGTGCCACTGTTGTGCCATTGAGTGCCACTGAGTGCCACTGTTGTGCCACTGTGGCCACGACTTGTGCCATTGAGTGCCACGAGTTGTGCCATTGAGTGCCACTGAGTGCCACTGTTGGCCACTGATGTGCCACTGTGGCCACGAAGTTGTGCCATTGAGTGCCACTGAGTGCCACGGAGTTGTGCCATTGAGTGCCACTCGATGTGCCACTGTGGCCACGAGTTGTGCCATTTGAGTGCCACTGAGTGCCACTGAGTTGTTCCATTGAGTGCCACTGAGGCCACGAGTTGTTCCATTGAGGTGCCACTGAGGCCACGAGTTGTGCCCATTGAGTGCCACTGAGGCCACGAGTTGTGCCATTGAGTGCCACTGAGGCCACGAGTTGTGACATTGAGTGCCACTGTTGCCACTGAATTACACACCGCCGATCCCCCCCATGGAACACCGCCGTTCCCTCCCGATCCCCCCCGTGGAACATCGGCGAGCCTGGCTCCGCCCACTCTGAGTGGCGTTGAGACGCCCGCCCCTTACTTGACGCGAGTTGTGCCACTGAGAGCCACTGCGTGCCACAAGGAGGATCTCGCTGTCTCTCGGAAAACGTGCAACCGACTAAGACGCGACGAGCCGATCGCACCGGTCACTTCTTCATCTTATCTTATTTCTTTATTCTACTCTTTAAATTGTTACTTTCATAATTAACAGTATCTGGCTCGAAGGGTAATGAACTAACGCCAACTTTAACACCGTCAAATCCCCTGTAAACATGACACGATCATTTTTATCAATAGTTTTACTGTCCGCGTCAGGAGACAGTGACGTTACTTTAGTGCAGTCCCCCTCAGACGGACCAACCAGTGAAATGTTGCTTTTCTGTCCGTCTTGACTTTTACATCTGAGTTTACCTTTTGACATTATTGATATATTATGCGCTGTGATAGTATGTTTGTTGGTGGATTTTATGTCTGACTATTGACGAGCATAACTATTAACAACTAAAAAGGTTACATTACATTACATGTCATTGAGCAGACGCTTTTATCCAAAGCGACTTACATTACACTTTAAACCCATGGCTTTTTCACATTTTGCCCGGGGAGCAATCGGGGGTTAGGTGTCTATCTCAGGGACACTTCGACATGGAACATGGGGCAGCCTGGAATCGAACCAACAACCTTGCGCTTCCCAGCACACCTTCTATAACCCCTGCGCCACGACGACCCGAGGTTATTGAACGATACTGTCCTGAACAGAAAAGCCACGCTTCTTATTCCTGTTGCTTTGTATTTGTTTTTCCTGAAGTGACAAACAAAGCAATCCAATTAAACTAATTCTAGAGGTACAACGTAGGTGAAACTGTGTTTATTTTGCACAGTGGAGGAATACCGCTGGAAGCAGTGCGGGCTGTTCCAGTGGTTTTTAAGCAGGTCGCAGTTGACGGACATAAGTCAGTAAATGGTGTTTCCCTTCTGCTCCGTTTCACACCAGCAGAGGAAGCTTTGAAAAGCAGGAAGCAAAACTCGACTCAGCATGGATCCAACTGTCCGCCGATACACTCGAGGCCAAATCCTGCCAGAATCAGCAATATTTCTGAATCCCTAAATTAGAATCGGCGTTGGAGAGTAAATGTTACTTTCGAAAGGACTCACAGCGCGACCGGCTCGTCTTTGGGGGTGTAACGGTACAGCTGCCATAATAATCGGAAGGAGATTATTCGTCAATGTGGTAAAACAAAAACATGAAATCCGGTTTGTATGACTCACCAACGGACGCAGACGGCAAATAGACCCGAAGCCGCGCGGCGAGGTTTCGGCATTTATGCTGAACGAAGAGACCTAAAAGCAGAGTAAAATGTGTTTAGAGACGGGAAAGTCCGGCAAGTCCGCTGCGCGTCTATTCAGGAAGGTGGTCAAACTGCCAGGTTTACAGAGAGCCAATTTCCGGCTTTAGTCTTCAAAATAAACTACAACACCGCGAACAAAAGCTTTTCAATGTTTTCCAGAATAATATAATGTCGTATAAATTACTTTTTGTATATTGGTTTTGAAAAACATATTTAGCCAAAGTTAGCTGAATCGTTAATCCAATATGTCATTTATATTCAATAAGTCCTAAAGTCTTTTAGAGTTGATTATGGTGTTTATTAGAAGCACGCATGAGAATAACAAGACTAACACCAATATGGACAGAAACTGTCAGCCATGATGGCTTTCCTTTTGTGGCCAAAGTGTGTTCAATACAATAAACAATCAAATAAATAATTATAATGATTATTAGTAGGCTATAGAGAACAAAAAAACATTATTATGTTTATTGTTGATATGTTTACAAAATAATGACAAAATAATGTGTAATAATAATTGTAGTCTCTGGCCAATAGAAAACAATTAACATGACTATTATATATAATGATCCATAGTTTCTGTTCAAACATTTTAGATTTGCGTCGAGGATTATTTATTATAATTAATGTTATTATTATTGGTTATTGATTTATTTTGAAAGGATTGACCCGAAATGTTATAATCTTAGATGATGTGAGCTACTTTGGTGCAGTTTCCAACAGTGACAACTGGAGGACGCACAAAACCTCACAACGGTCCGTGTACGTTTTGATAGTCCCTTTTACCGTAGAAACCAGAAAACGAAAACACTCGTTTCTCGTTTTTCGTTTTTAATCAAAAACGGTAAAACGGAAGTGGTCGGTCGTTTTCTCGTTTTTCGTTTTAAATCCAAAACGGTAAAACCGAAGTGGACAGTCGTTTTCTCGTTTTTCGTTTACAACCAAAAAACGAGTCAAACTCACAACTTTTTACTCCGTTAATCCCTTTTGGGGTTTTGCCCATAAAACGAAAATACGAAACGGAGCCGCTAAACCGGAAGTACGTCGATTTTCACAGTAAGAGTCAACGCAATGGAACGTGTGTATGCTATAAATCCGTCTGCGAAGCCAGCGGTTAAAAGTTAATTAATGGATATAAATAAATAGTCCTGGTCCGACGGGATGCGTTAGCACCAATAGTTGACAACACGCACACTCGTTGCTCTTGGATCCGATATTTATCTACCACGCATTGTGTCAGTGAAGACAGAGCAGAGACAGTTTAAGGAGACACAGAGTAAACGTGCAAATACATGTATTTAAACCATAGATTTAATTATATTTAACTGTGTTTAAGTTATTTATGTAGGTTATTACAGATGTATTTAATGCTGGACATTTGGTTTCTTTATATATAATAATTATTTGTCACACTTCAATCCTGAATGTAAACCGAAGAGGTCAAAGGAGGAGAAGATCTAATGTTGGTCTGTGTTCCAAAGAAAATTACTTCAGTTTTATTGCTGTCAGATGTGTTACTATTTTGAAAAAAATAAACCTTAAGTTATCACTGATTGTGTCCATATTAGTTCCCCCTCAAAGCCAGATTTTAGGGCAGCTTCTCGATTGCACAGAGACATTTCTTTCCAACAGAAAATAATTGTTAAACATTCAATTCTTATTTTAAAGGAAGAGTAGTAGTAGTTACTGGGCCAGCGACGCCGGATGCATAGCTGCAGAGTGAAGAGGTGGACTCACTAACACAAGTGTCACACTTTGGCACCAACAAAGTGCTCAGGATCAGGAAGCGAATGGAATGTGCTTTACAGATGTTATTGTACAGTGCCGTCAATAAATTGCCACAATTTTTCAAGAGTCATTCAAATGCCTGATTGGTGTTACAAGAAGACATTGTCAGGACTTGTTATACTGTATGTATCTCTTTATTCTACTTGTAAATAGGTCAAGTATAGAATGTGAAATGATGCCATGACCAGCATATTTCCCTGTTGGCATGTTGTGCTCAGTGTTGTGGTGTGCTGTGTCCACCACACACAGCGTTTGGCATTGAGGCAAAAAGTTCAGTTTCTGACCAGAGTATCTGTCATACAGGTGAAGTTTGTGTTTGTGTCCCGTCTTACGTCTGATTTTGATACTTCCTGTTTTATTGTGGCGTCTAAACCCCTTCTCGTTTCAGGTGTCTTGCCCTTCCTCAGGTGTCTCCTGTCGATTGTCTCCCCTGATTCCTAAATGTCTCCCTCACCTCCCTCATGGATACTTATTGTCTGCATCTCCCCTTGTCCTGTGCCAGTGTGTCTTGTAGTCGTACATGTCCACACCCGCGTATTAGTTTGGGAAAAGATCATTGCATTATTGTATTGTTAGATATAGGAATAATTGGATTATTGAACTACTGGATTTATGGAATAAATCTCTAGCAGTCAACCCTCTCTGCGTCCTTGTCCTCCCCCCCGGCTCCGGCCTGACTGACAGTACACACTTGCCAGTATGGACTCGGCAGAGCTGGACCAGCTGACTGCAGCACTGCGCGCACAGGCCTCTCGGCTGGCGCAGCAGGAGGATTTAGTAACGGGCTTAGATCGAGGAGTCAGGGGTCTGGCCCACAGCCAGGAGGAGTTCAGGACCACTGTGTCGGCACAGGTGGGACTTCTCAGCTCCCAGATGGAGCAGATTCTCACCCTCCTCTCCAGGAACGCAGCTCCGGCGCCCGAACCCTCTCCAGCCCCTCCGGACCTCTCCACCGGGTCCACTCCTGCGGACACCGGCGACAGGTTGGCACCCCCAGAGCGTTACGACGGAACCATCGGAGGGAGTAGAGATGCATTTTGAACATTCTCCCCGTCATTTCCCCACAGAGCGGTCCAAGGTCGCATTTATGATGTCGCACCTCACGGGAAGAGCGAAGGCGTGGGCCACTGCGGAGTGGGCTCGGAACTCGACCTGCGTGTCATCCAGGCAGTTTTCCAACGCTTTGAAACTCGTCTTCGACCCAGGGGCGACCGACCAGGAAAGGGCCCGGGCCCTGCTGAGATTAAGCAGGGGGGCGAGTCAGTATGTGATTACGCCATTCGTTTTCGCACCATGGCGACAGAGAGCGGGTCGAACACCGTGGCTCTATACGATGTTTTTTTAAAGGGACTCTCGGACCAGATCCAGGACCTTATGGTTCCATTGGACCTCCCCCTGAACTCGACTCCCTCATCGCCCTCGCCATCCGCACTGACAACCGGTTGCAGGAACGGAGGCGGAAGCGTGGAAGTCGGTGGACACCGCCGGCACTTGGCTCCCCAACGGCACGCTGGAACGTCGAACCCCAGCGGACCCCGCCGGAGCCGCGGTTTCGACGTCCCTTGGAAGGGGACGAGGAGCCCATGCATGGGCGGAACCAGGCTCTCTCGACCCAGGCGATATCGAGAGGGTCGGTGCTTTTATTGTGGAGAGTGTGGCCATCTCGCCAACGTCTGCTACGGGAGGGGTAACCAGCCGGTGAGTGACTTCACAGAAATCACTTGCACCCCGCGACGGCTCATCACAGTTATGATGAGACACCACAGCAAGGACATTGAGTTAGGAGTATTGATTGACTCTGGGGCAGATGAGAGTTTTATTGACTGGGGCTTAGTTAGGAGCCTGGGAATTAGTTATCCCATTAAAGAAACCAGTGAAGGCGTGCATGCTCAACGGGAACTCGTTTACTATAACCCACTTGACAGAACCAGTTGAACTCCGCATGGCCGGTCATTGGGAGTGCATAAGGTTACACCCAATGCACTCGCCTCTGCACCACCTCATCCTTGGCTTCCCGTGGTTAACTCGGCACAACCCACGCATAGACTGGTGCACCGGGGACATTGTGGGTTGGGAGAAGAGTTGTAGGGACCAGTGTCAGGAGCCACAGCTCCAGGGGAGGAGCTCCTCAATTAATCGGGTGTGCACTGACTCTGTTACAGACTCGCAGGTCACCGATCTAACCGAGGTGCTGGGCTGTGTCGGGATCTCCGATCCCCCCGAGTAGATTGATGAGAAGGATCCAGCACGTTGATCAATTAAAGTCAAAAGTTAACATTTATTTAGAAGACAAAAAGATTACATGAGCAATTCTCCGCAGATATCTGGCTCTAACTATTGCTTGCAAGCAGGAGGTCCAACACACCACACGTATTCCAGCGCTCTGTGTAATGGCGTTCCCGAGCAGTAAAAACGCTGAATTTTTATACACTTGAAGACAGTTCTTAGCGCCAGTTTCGAGAAGCCACAAATCAAGTTGAGATAAGAACTCAGGTGAAGCTGAGGGTAACACACAATGCTCCTCTGATCGAAGGTCCGTGAGAGCAAGATGACCCCCTTCCCCAAACACAGCTGCAAACCCTAAATCTTTCTATCTCTCTCCATCTCAGGGTCAACCACTGAGACCTGGCTTTTAGCGCAAGACAATTGTTTACAGAATGTTTTTACCACTACATGCATCTCACAGCTGTTACCACCACTTGGCAGAGGTATTTAGCAAGACCAAAGCCACAGCCCTACCACCTCACCGTATGTTCGATTGCGCCATCGATCTCCTACCTGGATCCCCCATCCCGAAGGGTCGGCTGTATTCAGTTTCGGGTCCCGAGAGGCAGGCCATAAAAGACTACATTGAATCCTCCCTGGCGGCAGGTTTGATTCGGCCGCCCTCATCCCCAGCAGGAGCGGGGTTCTTCTTCGTGGGAGGTGGAGAGATTGTGTCCATTTGTGAGGGAGGGTAAACTATGAAGGGCAGGGTCTCAACCATTGACTCACTGGTTATGCTCTCCTCCCCCTCAATATGTGTTTTCAACCCAATTTTATTTTTATTTTTTGAAAGTCACATTCATAGCTGCCCCTAGTGGTGGGTAAATTATATGTCCTATAGGGTTTTCCCTTTAGTTTCAGATACTTTGTCTCTATATAATGTTGATGCGCGTTGAACTTTTAGCTACTAAGACCAAGTTCACTAAGAGAGCCAGAGGGACATCTTCAGGAGTTTTTTCCCAACAGCAGTCATGAGGGAAATAAAAATGTCCATTGGATAAAACTGCATTTAATAGCAGGTGCTAAAAA